CAGGGGCGGCGACGCGACGCGACGCGAGGTTAGAACTTAATACCCTGTTCTTCCATCGCTCGACATCTGTCAGTCGGTTGTCGGTTCAATTAGCAAACTCATCGCTTACACGTCGCCTCGTCCGTTATTTCGCGCGGCCAAAATGTCTAACGCCGCGATTGCGAGCCTGCGCTTTCATCGTCGAGCGTCTGTCCCGCTTCGTCGGTACGCTTGGTTAAGAGGATTCCTCTTTTTCATTCAGACAGGATTCTAGATAATTTGGCTTTCGATCTGTACGTGACCGAGTTTGATTCGACCGATGACCAGCGTTCCAAAAGCGTGCTTCAAGCGTGGAAGAATATTCGAAGATAAGAATCGGAAGGATTTGTAAGTTTAAGGAACGTATTCGAACGCATCCGAATATTTCGATCAAAGTTGAAACGTTCTGAAAGCGAAATAAAAGAAACTTCGGATAACGATACGTGGTACTATCGCGACATCGGATACCGATAACGATAATACGGGACATGGATTATCCGAACAACGTAACATAGCAGGGATAAGTGCAGGATGAGTAAGAACGAGGGAAGAAACATCGTATCGGGTCATCGGTAGATCGGAAATATCGTAATAGATTATTTGGTAAGTAACGCGGTTTCTCGGAGAGCTTAGTTTGAAATAACGAAACTCGTTGCGATACGTGGCAGTCGTATAAAGGAAAAGTTTTACGAACGTCTGGTAGAGATACCTGATTGATCGGTGGAGGCATGACCGCCCCATCGACGAAAGGAGCAAATCCGGAAGTGAATCTCGGGGTATCCCACTGCACGGCCAGAAGCTCTTCCAAACTCCGCAAACGAAGGCACGGTGCGATATCGTCAGCCTCCACGTCACCAGAGCATTCGGTCTGATTGGCGACGTGACGTTTCGCCGTTAACGGATCACGCTGTATAGCCCAGGGTGACAAGGCAGAACCGCCGAGTAAAACTACTCTCTCGACCAGCTCTGCGATATAAAAGACGTCAAATCGCGTAATACGACGCTACGGTGATTTCTCGAGAAATAGGGAAATGGAAATTTGTTTGATTTGCAACTTGGCCTGTAACGAATCTACGTACGAATAGAAATTTCCTATTATATCTAACTGTAGAATTTGATTTCGGTAAAATCAACGTTTCGTATACGCGTAACCACGAAGTTGACTCGATCGACGAATCTCGCGTGTCCTTTTCGATACGCTATTCAAACAGTTTACCTAGCGTATATGTACGCTTTGACCGGAGTTGCTAAAAACGAATCACCTATCGTTTAATAATCGCACATCGATATAGACGTCGTTTTTCTTTATTCTCCTTGCAAACGTTATACGCATAGTAGAATTTATTTGATCTTCTCGTGCTTCGTCCTATCTCCAGCTAGAAAACTGAAACGCGTAACAAAGAAACGACTTTCGTTTACGGATAAATAAACGATAAACGAGTACATTTGAGAAAGTAAAGTTCTTCGAATCGAACGAATCGAGGTTGCGCGCACGATCGTTCGGTCGTTGAGTCGACTCGTCGTTTCGACCAAGAGCGCCGCGTGCCGGGGCATTAGGGGCGAGTCCGCGAAGCCCCGATGGAGCCGAGGGACGGTAAAACGTATCGCGGAAGGGCATTAAAAGGAGGACGCGAGGTAGGTTCGTTAGCGCGGAATGGAGGTGCAATCTAGAAACGCGTCCAGGTTCACCACCGCCCTTGGCGACTCTGCTACCCTTATTCTCTGTCTGCACTCGAGGAAGCTTGTTAAGGTCTCTAGTGGCCGTCGACAACGAAGACGGCCGTGTCACCGTCACCGTTGCCGTTGTCGTCGTCCCCGAGGAATATCCCCTCGACTATGCTCTTCCCGCGCGAGTATCCTGACACCTCTGACTTCACCGGCGCGCGACGAAACACGAAACGGTACGCTAGAGGAATCGAGGTGAATGGCGGCGAACTAGAATCGGAATGGTTTCCGCGAAACGAGCGATGGCTGCGTCGAGTGCGATATCTGATTTCGGAACGATGCTCGCTTCCTACGTACCGTACTATCTGCATAGAACAGATGGCGATTTGCTCCATACGCGTAGTATACGTACGTAGACGGAGCAAGCCAGAAATTAATATCGGTTGTAGCAAATGTCAGTAAGTAGTAAGCAAATATTTCGACCGAAAGAAGAATATCAACGTTCTTTCTATCGATTAACTCCCATCCGTCTGCTATTTGCTCTTATCCTCTTGCGTCTCGGTCATCGCGTACCTGCAAGCAGTCGACACACGCACAACGGACATTCTTACCGCATGCGTGCATCTCATCGTCGGTGTACGCGTGTGCATTCTTCCAATTAACTCTCCATCGTTGTTAACGATCTATTCGGTTCGCAAAAAATTCATACGAATCTTTCACGCTCGTACATCGTATCGTTCCCTCGTTAATGCAAACGCAACATTGGATCGTACAAATCCGAACGCGGTCGAACGGTCGAATTAAAGATACGCGGCATTTGTATTAAAGTAGTTCCTAGAGAATTACGAATTTACGAATCAAAGGATACCGTTACCTCTTGCCATTGGTGAGACGGCTAAAAAGTTGGCGAGCGCGGCTCCTGTACCGTGGCCAAAGAGCGTCAATCGATCGGGGTCGCCGCCGAAAGCGCCGAGATTCTCGTGTAACCAGTGAAGGCCTGCCACTAGATCCATCAATCCGTAATTTCCTTGCGCGCTCCCTTTCGGACCTGTTTTAAGGAAGCCTGCAAGAAAAAAAGAAAAATTCTCTGATCGAACACCTTTAAACACTCTTCGATATCGTTAAATGCGGAAACAGATATTTACGTGCTCGAGCTGTGAAACGCTCTGTACACTGTCGCGTTACAAACGGACGATAAACGAACACGAACCTTCGTCAAACGTAAAACGTAACGATTTCGTACAACCTTCTAATTTACTGTGACTTTTAGAATTATTCAAGATGCGTTTGTAACGTAATAAGGTGTAGCTTGATCCTACTCGGAAAATTACTTTAGGAAGCTACTGGCAATTTCGAATATAGTTTTGTTGCTTCGCGGCATTGCTGAAAATTTCGCCAACACCAGACGGTTGACGTTTCAACTGGAGTTAGAGCACGCCGGAGGAACGGATGAATCGTGGGTTCTCTGTATGCTTCTTGATCGCGCAGCCGGCGTCGTTTTACGAGAGACTTGAAAGATAAACTCGCGCGCTTCCTTATCAACGCCATTGCTCTGGAAATTGCCACAATGCGATCGTTAAAGTTCCTTGACTTGTCCGATCGTCCCTCCTTCTCGTCGGATACGATGTTTTCGTATATGGAAGCACGAAACGATCTAAGACAAGCTGTCGCCGATAACGTTGAATCTTTGACTCTGTTGTAGTGATTCGAGGGTTTTTCGAACGAATTACGTTGTCGTTTCGTTGACTCAGCACTACGAGCGAATCCGTAAATTTCGTTGATCCGTTATTCCACTTTTCCGTAGATCGGTAGCTTGTTTATTCGAGAATTTACTCAGGATTTTACGTATCATTGCGTTTCTATTTCCGTAATCATTCGCAAGGACTACAAATATCTTCGTAGCATCTGATATACGTATATACTAGGCGAGTGCAGTAATTGGGCCGCGCTCTATTACTCCTAGAAGAACAGTTGCCTGACATTAATCTCGCGAGCAAATAAATAATCGTGAAGTAATCGTCGACCAACGTAATCTGAGATTTACAACCGCGAGAAAAGAATGTACCCAGTCCGCAAGACGCGACATTTATCGATGTTTCCAATATATTTGGTTCGTTTTCTCGCGTAATATCATTGGTGGCAATTTATGATGGAAAATGGGATTTATAGTATAAATTCCATAATATATAAAAGTTGATATTCCGAGAAAGTACCTCTACCAGCGTGTCTAATTTAAAAGAATTACTCAAATATCCTATATTGCTTATTTTCATATACCGTTACTCCTACTAATTAAATTGGTAAATGAATCTGTACTGCGTCAACATTTGTTCGTGTTATACGACAATTCTAACTAAATAGCGTGGTAATTTGTCGGAATAACGAATCGACGGTAAAAACGGTGGCGTACGTATTTGGAATTTTGAAGAACAGCGAGGATGAAGAAGAACTTGCGTTTCCATTAAGACGAATGATTAGATAGAAAACTATTTGATTTGGATCGGGTGGGAACAGAGCAGAACGGACATGAAACCGAATGTATCGAATTTAATTAAAAATGTCGATCGTAATTTTATAAGATATACGTAATTGTCGGAAATACCGTGACTACAAATTTTATCACCGTAACAAAGTCTTTTCGACGTTCTTCGGTTAAGAAACATACTTCACCTTCTCGACAAAACACACTGTGTATATCGATCGATCGTTCGTGTATACGATACAGTGTCTATAGATATATCGTACTCTCGCTACCTAAGAGGTTTAAGGGTTCTATTCTACGATGTTCCTCGCTCGCACTTTCCGTACTCCTGTACCACACGTGTGCAAACCTTTAGCAAATAGATAGACTGGAACTAATCTAACTAACTTACAGCGACACGATACCCTCGATACTGCTGTATACACGATACTGTGTCTCGATGAAAATGAATTCTCAACTCTCTTCTCTTGCACTTTGCCGATATTTTTTCTGCTTTTTGTGCTCAAATCCAGAATTACCATGATTACGTGACACGTAGTCCGATAGGTACGTTAAATCTGCCGAGTGTGTTTCGAAAAGAATAATCGTAGCGATTAATACGACAGATATAACACTTGGACAGAAAATAACTTGTTGGAGGTACCACCTGTTTTATTAAACTTTATATTGCATTACTACGTAAAAGTTTATGCTAGTTGTTTATGTTCGACTTAATTTATAATATAATTACAGGCCAAAGTACGTTGTGTAATATAAAAATATGTCTCGAAAATTACAAGTATAATCCCGGTAGAATAGAAATACATATATATATATATATATATAAGTGTGTTATAAAGCGCGATTCTTTTATACGGAGTCGCGTTTAAGCGTAGTTGAGATGTAACGAGCGAGTCTTGTAACACCAAAGGAGAGGCAATAAACTGCTACTGCTATTTCACGTGTTTAAATGGGAATTGCAAATTGTAATTAGAAGCTGAAACACAGAGATGTCTTCTACGTATTTCTTAAGTGCAATTAACGCGTCATAAACTTGGAAAAACACTCGGGACCAGACTAGAATTTAATATTACGAAATGCACTCGCGTTAAAGCCTACATTAGGACTCGTATAATATCTTTAAGTTGCAATAATCTCGCGCGAAACACATTTAACGTGAAATTTATGAAATGGCTGACAACCCTTTTATTAACCATCTCGAGCTTCTATTTACGTGTTCGTATCGAATTAAATCTCAAAGAGTAATCCAACTGTCTGCATTAGCTAATTTGGATATCGAAATTGTCAAATCTGCCAATTGCTAGAACAGTTGGTTTTTTTAATGGTATATCTTAATTTTATAATTTACAAGTACTTTTATATAAAGTCCCGCAAATTTAGAGCTCAATTTGTAAATAACAAAGTATCGAATGAAAAAGTACCACAAGTAGGAGATACCAGTAAATGAACACAAATAATTACACAAACAGATTTTTTATTATTCAAGTGCCAAGATCTTCGACTCTGTTACTTACGTCATCTGCTACATTGGCATGTTAATTATTCGTAAATATAATTTAACGCGTACAATGTGGGCCCAAATTTGGGATAGGATTGGGAAATTGACAGAAGATTCCTCCACGTGCAAAGATAAGTCGAAAATGTAAATTTCGCTTCGGTCTTTAAAGCGCCTCGTTCCCAGAGGAATGAAATTCGAACATGTTTAGTCTATTCGACAAATTTTCAAATTCGATTTTCTCAAAAACGAATATTTCCACGTAGTTTTGTTATTCTTGAGCTTCGTCCTATCCCGAATTACAGAATTTTTCTAAATTCACCGCGAATTTAGGCCCGCGGTGTATAGAAAAAAGAAAGAAGAAAGAAGAGAAAAGTAACTATCGATTCTAAAATTGCCTACATTTCACGCTTCGGAATTTGTCGAGCTCGTAGCATCCCGAAGATCTATAGTCGTTATCGAGCATTATTCTCGCACATGCGAATCGTAAAAAACATAAAAAATACCATATGATGGAGAAATGTTGCCGAAATTGTGTATTTCCGGTACATATGTTTAATTAAAAATTCGCATCTTGTGATCTTTTGAATATTTAAGAATCTTGGAAATTTATATCTCCTACGTACGAGTTATTTAGATTAATTACAATATAAGATAGTATATACTCATCTGTTCCAGGTATAAAGTTCTAAAGGTATAAAAGTATAAAGCAGTCGTTTTCAAAGTAAATGTAGCAAGTCGATGAACTTCTAATTTACGCAAATACGCTATACTGCAGCTCGATTGGTTTAATTATGACCACGACGGAGATCCAGAGTACCGATTACCTTTAGCATTTACCCTAACAATGTTACACCGCCGCTTCCGTAATTACTCAAAGCTTATCGCTCGTTTCATTAGGTTCGACTCGAGTTCGAAACCGCCGGTTCAAGGTTATTCAGAGAGTAATCAGAAACTCGCTGGCGGGAAGCTACGCGAAGGATATTGCTCCGCGTACTTGGTGGTCGAATCCCGAATTGCTTGTACGGGAACTTTCCAATTAAAATGCAAATTTTCAGCTCGTCGCGATTCGGCCAACGATTGCTTCTCCGTTTCCTCGATAAAGTCGCTGACATCTTTGATCGATTTGCTCGAAATATTAAAGGGTGCGTTGTTATACTCGACGGTAGAACCGTTATTTAATTGGATATGATATGCGAGAAAAGGAAACGAGATAAAATTTGTCGAGCTGTGTAAGTATCGATTTGCTCTTTCGATTTCCCCGAAAATTGCTACACATTTTACTCGAGATATCGTGAATTTATACTGGTCGGCGTACCTTTCCGATCTCGCGTATAACACGTGCTACGATAACGGATATTTTTAAAGCTTATTATCGAAATTACTATTACGTTTTAAGCGGTATTCTAAACGTGTTAAACGGAATAAAATTACGTAGACCAGACATTTCGAACGGAAGCTGCTCTCTGAGCGAAATCAAATGCCAAACTCCAGACTATCAATTCATTTATGTAGTAGATTCACGAAGCGCAGCTATTCAACGCGTCACGCGCGATTGTATACGATTTTATCAGTCGCGTTGCAGAGTTCAATACCGGCGCGAGTCGACGTGACAAGAAAGCTAGACTTCACCATCCAAGGTTTTGCTCGGCCGGTTGTTCGATTTCGGCTTTCAGCGAGAACAAGTTCTCGTCAAGATTTAACTCCGGCTGTGATTTACGATTTAACCGTGCGACCGATTCGACCGGTCGATTTCAATTTCAATAGCTTCGTCTTTAGCTCAACTTTGATAGACTTGCGCAAAAACGACGACTTTTGGTTACCCACTTTAACGGTAATTTAGGCTTGGAAAGCCGTTTATCCAACGATTATGTACAAACCACTTTTTAACGAAGCGATATTAACTCGTGGTATCAGAGGTGTTTCAATTTTTTCATATCTCGTTATAAATAACAAATTTTTTAAGAATCTTCCACTTTTCAGCAATTTTCTCCACTCGAAACTTGCTTACGATGCACATCATTCCACGTTATATCCTATAAAATTACGTTATATACTCTTGCGTATTTTATCAAAATTTGCGCAC